CCCGTCGGAGAGGGGACGAGGACGGGACAGCCCCGGCAGCTCCAGGGGAGCACAGGGTGAGGAGCCCCAAACCCAGCAGCATGGGCATGTGGGTGCTCGTCTGAGTGTGTGCACGCAGGAGGGCAGGGCAAGTGGGATGGGGCAAGTTTGTGTATGGGCAGCAGTTCCCCGAGGATGCAAAAGGCACAGGACTGGGGTTAAACTTTCCCAACTTTTATTTTTCTGGAAAAAGCTCATAACCCACCAGGCAGCGTTAAATATGAATCCTCATTCAGGCTGCAAAGTGCATGTTTCTCGTGGTTACTGAAGGAGCAGGCAGCTCGGAACCTCAACAGCCATGATTTCTTTGAAATCTCGTGGCTTTCAGACCTGACCCCAGGTCCCGGCTTCGGGAACTGGCAGTGGTTGGCAGGCCAGGAAGGCGTTGCCCATCCCTGCTGTCACAGCTGCCTCCATGTTCACCCAAGGGCAGCGAGAGCAAGGTGGGAGCAGACGAAGCTCCATGCCCTAGATGCTTCATGGTGGGGCAGTTGCAGTGTCACTGTAGAGGGACCGTGGGAGCACCCTGGCATGCAGGAGGGTAATGCAGGGCTCCTAGGGACTGATGTGACTCTGTGCAAGACAAATGTTTGCAGCACAAGGGAGGGTGGTAAGCAGGAAAGAGCATCCGCTGTGCCCCTCTGCCTTTACCCAGCCACTTCCTCGCCTGCCAGCCAGCCACATAGAGGGAGACCCATGGTGTGGTGGAGACGGCAAGGGCGCTATGTGGATAGCAGGTATGCAGACCTGCCACTGCATTGTCCTCCCAGCTCTGCAGTGTTTCCTAAACTATAGAAACAGAAGTTTAGAGCAATGTCGCTTTAAGCTAAGTTTAACAATATCTCATATTTTCAAGCTTCCCAGTGCTGAAAATCTCTCCCAGCCTGCTTTAACACTACAGACACTGACACACATCAGTGGGGCTATCCCCCAGCCAGCACTCATACAGGTCAGAGGGTTTATCAGAAGTCATCGCTCTGCCCATCAGTCACAGACCTGAACAACCAGAGGAAAACAGCTTAGTATTACGTCCAGGCTGCACACCGCTGCTTTAGGAGACACTCACACTGCCTACACCCACTCTAAAGATACATTTGCGGCAGCAGTTTAGATGTTTGCTGCCACCTCTCCCTCTGATAAAGTTATACAGGGTAGCAAGCCAGCTTTGTGTACGTTAAGACCTTTACATGCCAAGGAAAGTTTAAACAGAGTATGTCAGCATTAACCAGCAGCTCCAGCTGGTTAATGCTGACATCATCAGCATCACCTGCCAGCATCACTTCCAAAATGCGGGCTGGGAGGTGTGTGTGTGGGGAAATTACAAACTCTAATATCAGCATTACAAGCCCCCCCCCCTCCCCCCCCCCCCCCCCCCCCATCGCAGCATTACTGTATACAGAAGAAATCTTTGATTTGCTGCTAAGGGGTTTTCTTTCCCCATTCGTATCTGCTGACAGTACCCCAATTGCAAGAGACCCGTAAATGTCTCTGCAAGGGCTCATGAGCCCCCTGCACAGCCATGCTAAGGCACACAAGGGCACTTGCTGGCACAGCAGGCTTCATGACATTGTTTTAAGCTACATTTCTTCGTTACCACACAGCAATAAATCTGTATGAAAAACCCGGAGGGGGCTGCGCTTCCCCGAGATAGGGTTCAGACTGCTGCACTTTCGAGCTGGCAGAGGCAGAGGGGCACCTCTCATTTTCCACATCACAGAAGAGGTGCCTTGCCCTGCAAAGAGGATTTGGATTTTTCCTTACTATTAAAGTTGTCCTCATGCTTTAGATATGAAAAGCATTGCTTTAATGAGCTGCAATTCTTGCTCTTGGAAGCGAGTTAGGTTTCAAACCCGAGCAACAAAGCGCCTGTGTTCCTTACTTCTATTTTTTTTGTTCTAACACCAAGAGACACAGATCTTTATTTTGACTTCGTGGTTTCCTTGGGAGTGACAGACACTCTGTGAGGAAAGCTCTCCTGGCTCTCACCGGGAGTTTTATTTAAGCAGGTTCCTCCGGTGACACACACCCTCTTCCCACTTTAACAGAACCATCTTTTCTGTCCAACAACTGAAATTCCATAAGTCACTTTTGTTCCTCTGCAGCATCTGCCCTTGCTTACATATATTTCGTTGTGAGAATGCCACGTTCTCAAGGTCCAGCACAGCACAGGTCTGGGGGGTTTGTGCGAGTTTCCAGCACTCATATGGCTGTATGAAAACATCCAAGAAGCGCCTGGAGACTATAATGTCTGGGGAGAGGGCAAGGACAGGGAAGGTTGTGTGAAGAGAGCAGAGCATGGGCATGGTCATTTATTGTTCCTCACATACCTTTCCAGCAGGGGAAAAAAAAAGATCTGGGAGAAAGCATACATCCCAGGAAGCAAAGTGCCAATGTTACCATTTCAAGCAGAAGCAGTGATGCTTAAGGAAGCCTGTGAAGTTGGATAAGCCCTGAACTTTAGGCGAAGACAGCAATTAATCTTTAATCCTTAAGTCTTACAGGTGCACCAACACCAAATCTGATAGAGAAACCAGGATTTTGCTGCAGGTCACACACACACATATGTATACATGCAGACAGATGTGCTTAATTATCAATCAGCATTTATAACAGACTTGCTTTGGTTGGACACATGTTCAAAGACTCCCCAGCTTTTGGTGAGTGAGGTCAGGCTCTCAGCACCTCTCACTCTTAGGGGGACACCTCCAGCCCTAGTCCTTGCCCACCAGGTTTCCAAAGCCACTGCCATCAGCCTCATGTTTAGCTTGAAGTATCACTTTGGGAGATAGATCAAAGCCTTAATTCAGCCATTTCTGCTAATACAAATGTATGTTTTGATACAGGCATCGTCTCTCTCATCTCCCTGGCTGTACTTTCTTACGAACGTTACTGCACCATGACGGGAACAACAGAGGCCGATACCACAAACTACAGAAAAACATGGACAGGCATTGTCCTGTCCTGGACGTACTCCTTGGTCTGGACTGCACCCCCCCTTTTCGGCTGGAGCAGTTATGGGCCAGAAGGACCAGGGACAATGTGCTCCGTGAACTGGCATTCAAAGGACGCTAACAACACGTCCTACATCGTATGTCTTTTCTTCTTTTGCCTTGTAATCCCTTTTGTCATTATTGTTTATTCGTACGGGAAGCTGCTGTGCACTATAAGGCAGGTAAGTAGATTCCTCAACTGCCTTTTTACTGTGACCCCAAACCAAGCAGAAACCAGTGACCCCCATTTTCCACCTTTATAACTTCTCTGCTGTCAGATGTGCTGTCACCCTTGGAAACTAGCTCTCCTGTGACTGTCTTGGTGACAGGATCCAGTCTACCAGGGCTTTCAAAGTCATACTCAAGTGTGAGCAGCTGGAAGTCCCTATGACAGCTTTGCAGATGAAGGAAGTTTGCCAGACCACTCGAGATATCCCAATTACCCCTAATTAAAACTAGAAGGGACCTACCTACCTCGATGAGATTGGTCCTAGGACTTAAATCTGCAGCAAGTCTATGGAGAGGTTCAGAGGCTGTATGATCAGTGGAGGATGTGGGAGCTGTGATTTCAGAAGATCAGTGCTTCTTTTCTGAAAGCATAAGAGTGAACCCTGCAAAAAAGGGTGCTAAAAAGAAAAGTCATATATAATCCAGCTGCTGGCAGGATTCAGGTAAAGCAAGAAGCTGGAGTTTAGCAAATACGAACTGTAAGGCAGTCCTATGGCATGAAGCTTACCCCTTGCACACAAAACAAAGCCAATCCATAAATGACCATGAGCTATCAATCTATTCCCAAGATAAGATATATTTGCTTTTAGTAGTGCTAACCCACCCCAATGCAGCGTTTGGTACGGAACACTGTCAGGGCTGCCACTGTCACACAGCTGAAAATGCTAATGCACAATTTTTTGATTTCTTGTGAATAGCATCTGCATTTAGCCATGAGTCCTAGGGAGTGATGCACCAGCACTGCCTGCTCATGGCACGGCAACACTGGGAGAGGATCCATGAACGTGGCAGTCCCTCTGTCAGGCACCAGCCTGTGGCCAGGCAAAGACTGGGCAGGCAAGGACCAGGCAGCTCAGGCCAGGCCACCCGCTCTCCCCCAGCACAAAGCAAGAATTCACCACCCTACACAGCCCCGCACTTGGCCCCCACACCCTGGGAGCCCACCCCAGGCTGGGCACAAGCTCCATCAGTGCTACAAGATCTGACTTTGTCTCAGCTCATGCAGTGAGCGCCTGAAAGATAGGAGGGAATTAGATAAAATCACTCTATGAGCCACATTTGCAGATGCAAACATTTAACTTAAGCTTATTATTGCTTTGGGACTTTGGGCAGAATTAAATCAAATCAGTGGAGATAAGTTAATCCTTCTCAGCCTTTCCCAGCCTGTCGTCTCATTACAAATACCTTTTGTTCCCCTGATAGCGAGCTTAGTCCTCTTTGGTCACCCTTTGCTGTGAACAGTGGCTGCTCCTGCACCACCATGGACCAGTCCCCCGAGTCCAGGCAGAGGGCTGGCTCTCATGGGACTCTGTTTTTTCCATCTTTTGAAGCTACAAAAACTGGTTTAGAGGTGCTGCTTGTTGCAAGCCAGCCACAGCAGCCAGGGCTGGAGCAGGTAGTGCCTGCAAGGAGAGGCTTTTCCTCTCCAAAGCTCCTCCATGGGCAAGAAACAGCAAGAAAACCTGGACGGAGAGTTGTTCCCTGCGGGAAGGTTGTGCTGTCCAATACGTCAGCAGACGGAGTCTTTATTTCTGCTGAGGCTGTACCTAGGCGGGAGCACTGAAGTGTGTAAGTTTTCATATTAAATACTTTTCCCACTGATGCATCCATCACATAACAAGGGAATTTTAGGCCCTCGAGAGCTATCTGTCTTCAGGACAGCTTTGGACACTCTCATGAGGGTGAGCATTAGTATGTCACCAGTTCAGGCGGCAGCAGGACTCAGCAGCTTTAGTAGAGCCCTCTGCAAACCCAGCAAGTGATGGGACCCCTTCAGTGACATGAACTGGTCCTCCAGTGACCGCAGTGGCACGGAAGAGGGGATAGGGTGGTGGCAAGGGGCTATTGCACCCTTCATCAGGCGTGACGAGTGTGAAGGTCAGGAGCTGCCTTTTCTGGGCTGTCTGGTCATGCAGAGACCCTAAAACATGGGAAACATTCTGGGAAATGACATGAAAATTATTCTCAGAAGGGGAAGAGCCATTTTTCTGCAGTTCATGCAAAGTCTGCGCATGCAACATTGTATTTGTTGCATGACCCTGCAGGACAGGGCTCCTGAAGCCCTGGCATGCAGGAGAAGAGCTGATTCTGAGGCTCAGCCTCTACCGTATCATCATACCCGATTTGCCAGACACACACCTCCGTCTGGATCCAGGTTATCCTTCCACAAAGGGAGGTTTCCACGAAGAGGGAAAGTCAAAACCGGACAGTGCTGCTGGACACGCCTGGGCACAGCTGAGCATGGAGGGCTGGGTGCTGCGGAGCTTGTTCGGGAAGCCGGTGAACAAGGGGAAGCCGGGAGGCAGCGGTTCTGCAGGGGCATCAAGCCCCTGGGCTCAGGCAGTGTGCCCATTGCTGACACAGGCTTCTCCCGGCCGGTTACACTGCCACTCAGCTTCCCCCATGGCAGCAAGGTGCAGAAGCAGCAAAATCCCTGGCGTGTGTAAGAGGGAGGGAAAAAAAGACTGAACAAAATAAGCTTCATATGCAAGCTAAGTATTTAAGGAATTGACCGACACACATTTGTGCTTTTAGAAGATCCCAAAGTATAGGCAATACTCTGTAAGCCTTTTTCATGCTTTCAACTCCTGCCATGAATACCTTCCCTTAACTGAGGTTATCTGCACTACTTACAGGAGTAAAATTGTAGTGGGAAATTGGGGTGTTTGGTTTCAGCCAGGCATGAAAAATTACATCGTTTCGCTTGACATTTGTATTTTCATGCTCTGGTTTCTGACATGATTGTCATCACAGAAGATATGCAGGGATGTTTAAAATCTCGGAAATCGGTCCAGGCTCTCATATTCTCCTGTGCTGCTTGCAAGCAGCTGACAGATCCTACCGTCTTGCTTCAAGCTCACATTTCCTTAAACCTGAAGAAAATTGTCACCACTGAGAGGACCCATTTTTGCCCCCAAGTCTCACTTCAGGCTGGCAGGCAACAGCCAGAGGGAAGGGTTCGCTCTGAGCCACTTCAAATGAATACCAGAGGAGCTTGCACACATTACAGTATGCTGTTGACAATAAATCTGAATACTGAAAACAACCATTAGAAAATGAGGGGTATTTAGGTTTCCAAACACATTGAGCTTTCCTCTTAATTATCTCCTTTCTGATAAGTCTTTCTGTTTACGTAGCAATTTCATACCTCCCCTGTGAAGCACTGTGCAGGATCCAGGTGAAAGCAAAGGCAGCTGCTTTACCCCGGGGGAGGCTGTTGTGCTGCAAAAGCACGATGAAGTTGTGCGGTGGCAGACAGCTGGGTGCGAGGGTTTACCTCTCCTTCCTGAGGTTCCTGCATGGCAGGGCTTCACCGCAGCGCCTCGGCAGGATGGCAAGAGCCAGCTTTGCCTCCCATGGCCGGTCCCATTCCCATAACAGAGCTGCTAGTGGAAACCTGCTGACTGGGATTTGCTGCAAAGAGCAAGGATACTTTATAATTGCCTTAGTTTTGTTATCAGAGTCTCGAGAGCATGATATTTCCCCTATAGCTGAGTATGTAGCTTCAGGTGAGTACACAGGATCTCATCCATGCTACATGCCACAGCTGTAATCCCTCAGCTCACATCGAATTAGAAGTTCACAAAAATGAGGGAAGTGAAACAGAGCCTGGGAGACAGCCGGCAACCACCCCTGAGCAGTCTGTGAGAAACTGAAAAGCAAATCCGACAACTGTTTCTTATTTCACATAGCCCAGTGCCCTAGGAGGTCCTAGGAGCCCAAGCAGGTTTAGAGGACGTCGGGCTAACCTATTTCAGTGCTCAGGGTGAAGCACGCAGGCGGCTGCTTGCAGCTGGGGAAAACCCTCTGGAACATGAAGCTGGGCAGTACAGGAAAGCTGGATGTGTCTTCCATCCAAATCGCCATGCTGGTTTGAAAAGCTTGGTCACGTCTATTATTTTACTGCTTCAAAACCATTGTAGACAGCAGAAACAGTGCACATGGACAAGTCTTTCAAAAGACAACTTCAGCAATGCAAACAATTCATGGGCTACCAAAACCAATAGTTTGGGATTCCTTCTAGTACAAATGCTTCATAGCCAGCATCAGGTTCAACCTGAGCTCTTGGATGTCTTGGAGAAGCAAGATATTTTTATGGCCATTCCTGGGTTTCAGCAGCATGCCCAATCCAAGGCATGGGGTGTAAAAGTGCCATTGGGTAAACTGTCTCGTCAAATGTGGTCTGCATCCTAAGTCCCCTGTTCAAAATAACCGGCTCACTGAAAGCAACAGAACAGGTAGCGATTCCCCCATTGCATCCATGAAACTTGCAGCAGACAACCATTGTGCTACCAGGTTCCAGAATAGCTGTAGTCAGCACGTGAGACCTTAAAAATGTTTGTTGGAAACAGATAAATGATTTGTTGAGCACAGGGGTTAAAAGTCATTATTCAGAGTCTTTTACAAGCTTGGCAGAGTCCTCTCACATGAATTGTCAGAATGCAAATGTAATCAATTCCAGCTTTTATATCACTATATTACAGCGTGGATTTTTTTTTTCCTTAATTCACTGACAGGCTACTCTTCTGTCATCTCCTTAACAAATGAATCTGAAGTCCTGCCTCCAAATTATTGACTGTGGTTAATTCTTGGAAATTAGTACATGGGCTCAATACTCTGCTTTTCCACACAGTCTCCTGCCCTGGGTTGAGTTATGTCAGCATAAAACTACCGTAAGCACAGTGATGCAAAGCTCCTGAGGTTTAAGGGAGGTTTAGCAGCTCTTTCACCTCAGACTCCAAATCTGACCAGTTTTCAGACTTTCAGTTCCCCTTCTTATCCCACCCTGCCAGAGCATCCTTCCTCACAGAGAGAAAAGGAGAAGCAGCAAAGGAGCAAAGCCCGTGAGAGGTCAGGTTCTCCGGCAGGGCTGCAGCCCCATCTCCTGTTCTCCAGCTGGCACTGGCACACCCACCAGGGGACAGGTACCCAGCACCAGTGGCCCATAGGGACA